TGCAGCAGAAGCAGAGCAGCAGCAGCAGGGCGACGCCGGCGAGGGTGCCGATGACGATGCCGGCGATGGCGCCGCCGCTCAGGCCGCCGCCGTGGCTGTCGCTCTCGCTGCCGCCGGCGCCGATAGCATCGGAGTCGCTGGTGGAGGAGGCGCTGCTGGCGCCCGTCTGGGTGACGGTGTAGGTGCCGGTCCAGATGCCCTCGGTGCCGGTGCCGGTCTGGACGATGTGGGTGGTGATGGTGGTGGTGCCGGTGACGCGGTAGGGGGCCGAGTACTGCGTCTCGACCTCGCCGGCGCTGGTGATGACGACGGGCGTGGGCTCGGCGTAGCCCGGCTTGACGGAGCACTGGCCCTTGAAGGCGCACGTCTGCCAGCCGGCGCAGCAGATGGAGCCGCAGGCCTCCTGGGCGTCGTCCTGGGGCACGCAGTCGACGCCGGGGCTGGGCGCGGGCACGGGCGCCCAGTTGGTGAAGAAGGTGGTGGTGAAGGTGCGCGTCTCGGTCCAGGTGCTCGTGTACGCCGCGCCGCCGAAGCCGCCCAGGCACGTCGCCACGTCGCCGCTCAGCGTCGTGCACAGCTCGTTATTGCCGCAGCAGTACTGGCCCTCGGCGCCGCAGGGCGTGCCATCGCACGTGTCGCGCGGCAGCAGGTAATCAGTTGCGTAGGCACTGGTGTCGCTGCCGGTGGGCAATGGGCTGGCGGCGATGAGGCCTGCGGCGGCCAGCAGCGCGGAGGCTGGTCGGATGAGGGAGCGCATGGCCGCGGCGCGTCAAGTGTCTGTCGCTCTCTGGAGGCGAGTTCGAGGCTGGCGAGGAGAGATTGAGCCCAGCGAGAACGAGGCAGAGAGAAGAGCGAAGCCTCTCAAGGAGCAGCTGCTGCAATTGGCGAGGGGGACAAAGAAAGCGGCTGAGATTGGGCCGTGGTTGCTGAGGCAGTTGAACCGAATCCGCCCACCGACTGTCGGCCTCTCACGATGTCAAAACCCACGGGAGCGACGCGGAAACGAGAAGAAGGAAGCCGCTTGACTGACGACGCCCTGGTTTACGCCTGCATAAGTCCAAAGTCAAAAAAAGGAGGCTTGGGAGAGGGAAGAGTGGGAGCGTGCAGCTGCACGATGACTTTTATCGGCCGGCAGACTCGACAATCCCCAACCTCCCACTTACACCACACCAAAAACCCGAACCCCCCCAGCCCCTCCATTTTGTCCGACTCAAGGCACAGCACAGAAAAAGAGAGAAGCATCATCCATCGGCCCAATTGCCAGGGCACATACGCATTCGAGGTACCGAGTACTCGTACCTGCTGCACACCCTCCCGTTCAGCTGCATGTCTCGTATTGCTACTTTGTGCGCTACTGCTGTCTGTGTTACCTTGATTTGCATGACTCTATCAGACCATCACACCCCCCCCATCTCTGGCCCTCTTGACGGACACCGTTTGAACGGGCCGCAAGCCGCGGTGTAGCAAAAGTGCCCTTCTTTCGGACTTGTTCGTCACTCTTACAGGAACGCACAGTATAGGTACAATCGGCCACGGCCAGCTTACTATGAGGAGCCATGTACATATCTTGGCAAACGGGGACAATGAGAATGGACTCGGGCCTCGAGTTCACAAAAAGTCGGAGCGGAGGCGGCGCTCTGTCTCTCTTGGCCAGCTGCGGGAAAAACAGACACACCCACACCCACCCACTAATGACAAAGACGATCAGAAAGAACAAAAGAAGAGCGTCAAGAGAGAAAAGAAGTTTTAGAGCCCCTGACTAGAATTGGGAAGAGATGCAAGATGCAGCAAGGGTTCGGGCCGGAAATCTGACTTGTGATTCTGCAGTGGCGTCTTACGAGGACTTGGACTGGACTGGACTGGACTGGACTGGACTGGTGCGTCAAAGGTTTGGGCGGTCACGAGAAGAAACGAGGCGTGCAGCCGTTGACGAGCGCGATCTTACAGGGTACGGAGTAGCTGGAACTGGATCGTCGAGGACCTTGCCTGGTACGAGGTGCAGCATGTTGGGACCAGGACTTTGTGAATCTACTGCTGCGTATGTCGGTTACGGCTTGATCTTTTGTTCTTAACGAGATTCTTGTCCGTCTTTGAGATCATGTCCATTGACAGACAGGGCCGGGTTCGCCTTACAGCGCACGGAGTGCATCATGCCCCGAGCGGACGGGCTCGAGACTGGATGAGCTGGCAGCTGTGGCCACAGAACTGCCGCATGGAGACACCGCAACAATGTCAAAGAAGCATCGATGGGGCAGAAACGGACACGAGCGTGGTCACAAGCACAACCATGGCCGCATCTATAAAAGGAGCAAAAAGGACATCAAAGACATGGCCGGGCTGCAGTCGAATGCCTACGACGATTGTTGCGAGGTGAGTGTTGCTACAAAGACGGAGTATCGATAGCTGAGGAATCCCCTCATGTGGGCGCCTTTGACGGTGTTGGCAGCTTCTGATGGGCCGGACGGGCGAAGCGACCTGGGGTCAACGGCCGGGCTGGCCTTGTTTTCGCTCCATGCTGTTGATTGACCAGTGGGTTGTCCATCGTGCCCCAATTCCTTCTTTTTCTAGTCTGGCGTGATGGACAATCCGGCAGAGCGACGAGCTGCAAGAACAGAGAACAGACCGGCGGACATGCAGACTCAGCGCCTGCTGCATGCCGACCGCCTCGTGCGCTTGCTTCGAGGTGCATGAGATGACCGACTATTAGCTGCAATGCCCGGATGACATTGTAGTGCATACCGAGAGGCAAAAGAAAAGCATGAAGCAAGAAGGAAAAGAAGGAAAAGAAGCTTGCGCCACGGAGCGTTCCGAGGGATGAAGCTGATTGGAAAGGTTTCGCACTCTCATTAAGCGTGCAGGGCGGTGACGAGCTGTTTCGGAGCCTACAAAGTGCTCCGGAGCGTCACTTGTGCCAATGACAGGCGACGATGTGACGTTGTTTTTGCTAATGGACGCAATTGAGCAACCCGTCGATTTTCAGAGAACAAAAATCTAGTAATGATGATCATATTAGGCACGCCCTGCAATTGAATCAAGGCTTCAGTCCTCCTGATCCTCTATCGTTCCAAATGCTTCAGGTTTGTCATTGAAGGCTTCCCACAGCCATGGAAAGATTATGTCAAGCAGCAGTGGCTGGTGCTGTGGCTGGCTCAGCCTGTGGCTCACGCTGCTGCGGTCCCTGATCTATGGCCGAACGCCGGATAAACCCGCTGTTAAAACAGGTGGGGGTGCAGCATCATGGCCGGCCAGCAGCTGTGAAGCTTCCACGGCTGAGCTGCGACAGTGACACTCTTTCTCTGCTTCATCGGTTCCCGCTCCCGCTCGCCGCTCCTCAGCCTCGCACAGCCCGCTGCACGCTGGTAAGGCTGCCATCGTCCCTCCAATTGCCATCGAGGCGGCGTCGTCAAAAAGTCTGTTCAGCCAGTTACCAAACCTCGACTGCATCTCTCGCATCCTCCTCTCCTCACTGGCGCCCCCCAGACTCTCGCGCGTCACAGCTGCGCTCCTCCGCCTCATCATCGACATCGCCCATTCCCCGCCCCCCTCGAGGATCCCTCGCAAACACAAGCGCCCACCATGTCTGCCGACGGCCCGACATACCTGTCCTCCCTACAAGACAACATCCGCCAGCGCCCCGTCCCCTGGGATGGCGCCGTCCGGGCGGGCAGCCTCACCGAGGAGCAGTACGCAAAGATCCGCGCCGTCGACAAAGCCAAGCGGGCCGAGCAGAGAAACGAGATTGTGAGCGCGGACCTCGATGGATACTCAACGCTCTTCGTCGGCGGCAACGGCAGCCCCAGCGTCCTGGAAAAGGCAGGAAAGAATGCCAGCCTCGTCCAGTACATCCTGGTGCTGTTGACGGACTTGCTCGATGGTAAGCCATTATGCCTCTTCAAATTTCGCATTTCAAGCATCGCCGTCAGTCTGTTTCTACATGCACCGAGTGGGCATTGCGGCAGCAACGCAGGCGTTGTTGTGCTGCTGCCGCGCCAACAGCTCGGACTATCCCGCTATGCTACTCAACCTGAACTTTGTTGTCTGGCTTGTTGAGAAAGAGCTGGCTTCTGATATTGCGGCGTCTGTCGACCGAACCTTAATATTTCTCCAGCTTGCTCTGCACATTTTGTTGTTAAGTCCCCGCCGATTTGCCAAAGTATTGGATGTTACATAACGCTTTGATTTTCCATCTTCCCGCGTGGATACAACTCCAACCTCTATACGACCCATTACTACATCTTTATACGCATCGATTTGGTCTATCGCTAACCATCTCTGAACCCGAAACAGCTGTGCCATCTCTCGCCAAGGCTCTCTTAAAGTCTCCCGAGCCATATCAGCATTTCTTGCCCTTGTTCCGCGCACACTCCAACGAGGACCCCATCCCGATTCTTACGGCACACGCCTTGTCGACGCTCATGTCTTCAGCCCAAGATGACTCCAGGCCTACCGTTGAGGCCCTTCCCAACGTCTTCACCTATCTGTGCGGCCTAGCGCAGAGCACCGACGCCGGCTTACAGGACCTCGCCATGCAGGAGTACTCATTGCTCCTGTACAACCGTGTCTCGCGGGAGCTCTTTTGGAAGCAGCGCAGCGAAACCGTTACGCCCCTCGTCAACATTCTTCGAACTGCGGCCGGCGTGGGCAGTGGAGGTGACGCATCAGCCCGTCTGTGGAGCGGGACTGCTAGCACACGTCCCCTAGAGGGCTCGCTGAATGGAGGTGTTGGCCTACAGCTATTGTACCATGTTCTCCTGGTGCTGTGGCAGACAAGTTTCGACTCAGAAAATATTGGAGATGAGCTGAACGAGTAAGTGTTGATATCTTAAATTTAAGCCCCTGTCAACCCCCAACTAACCATGGCTGTAGCGAATACGACATCATCCTCCTGTATACTCACCTTCTCCGCCTCTCACCCAAGGAGAAGACAACTCGGCTGATTCTGGGCACCCTGTACAACCTGCTGGAGAAGAACCAGGCGACGCTTCTGCCTACTGCTGTGCTCGCGCGTCTGCCCGCACTGTTGGACAATCTGAGTGGTCGCCATCTGACCGATCCCGACTTGCTGGAGGACCTCCAGAACCTCAAGGACCTGCTAGAAGAATACACCAAGACGAAGACCACCTTTGACGAGTACGTAGCCGAGGTTCAGTCAGGTCACCTCCGCTGGTCTCCGCCGCACCGCAGCACCATTTTCTGGGCAGAGAACGCGAGGAAAATCCTCGAGTATCAAAACGGCGAGATTCCCCGCAAGCTGGCCGAGATTATGGACAAGCCCTGGGACAACGACAAGCAGGTCTTGGCCATTGCATGCAACGACATTGGCTGGCTGGTGAAGGAAGTCAGCGAGAAGCGATTGCAGCTGGAAAAGTTTGGCTTGAAGAGGCGGATCATGGAGCTCATGGCCTCCGACGACGAGAACATTCGATACGAGAGTCTGCGTGCCTTGGGACACTGGCTGAGATACAGCTTCGAGGAGAACTAGAATGGGGAATGGCCATGACTGGGTCCAACTCTTTATAATTTCTTAATCACGGAATCGGTCTCGGGAAGCTGCAGCAACTGCATATAACTAGATTCGGAGGAGAGGGGAGAGAAGCTGACTAGTGCTGTTTCTTATTGTTCATTTGTTAGTTCTTTTCTTTTGGATGCTTGTGTAGATGCGGCATCGTTTGGAGCATCAATTGTATTAATTGGGCAGAACTACACGAGTCACCTTCGGCAGAACTAGGTGAACTATTTGTGCCTTGAGAGACGATCCTTTAGTCTTCGGGTAAACAATAGAGCGACTATTCCATTGGCGATGCTAATCTCACTATCTCACCAGATCCCACAACGGTTTCGATATCGGAGAGCCGGTTCATTTCATTACGTTGCACAGGCGCAGAGCAATCCGCAGCTACCCGAGCCGGCCCCACTGGCCAGAATAATCTTGCCATCCATCTCCGATTGATATCGACTTTATCGACTTATCGTCACTCGGCGACTTTCACCTACTTTTTTTCTCACAAGAGGTTGTCCCTCACTATTCCTCCTCTTTCACTACTCATCCAACTCCATCTCTCAAATCTCCACTCATTACTGCTGTTCCTCTTCCTCCCCCTGTCACAGCCAATTGAAGCATCATGCAGAGCTTCGCCAGGTTTGCTCGGGCGTCGCCCCGCGTCAAGGCTTCCCTCTCAGCCGGCCGCCTCTCGACCGCTGGAAGCGTCCGATACGCTTCCTCTCCCAGCAGCGGCGAGTCCCTCAAGAAGACGCCGCTGTACGACTTCCACGTCGCCAACGGCGCCAAGATGGTGCCCTTTGCGGGCTACCACATGCCCGTGCAGTACTCGTCCCTGTCCCTGGCGGACTCCCACCACTTCACGCGGAACCACGCCTCGCTGTTCGACGTGAGCCACATGGTCCAGCACATCTTCAAGGGCCCTGCCGCGGCGGCGTTCCTGGAAAAGGTGACGCCTTCGTCGTGGAGCAGCATGGCCCCCATGAGCGGGAAGCTGACGACGTTCCTGTGGCCCGGCACGGGAGGCATTGTGGATGATACGATTGTCACGAGGATTGGGGAGGACGAGTTTTACGTGGTGACCAACGGGGCGTGTCTCGACAAGGACACCAAGTACATTGACGAGGAGCTGGGCAAGTTTGGTGGCGATGTGCAGTGGACGAGGTTGGATGGGTCGGGACTGGTTGCTCTGCAGGGCCCCCAGTCGGCTGAGATCCTGAGCGAGGTCCTTGCCACCGACATCAACCTGAAGGAGTTTTACTTTGGAAACACTGTTCAGGCGGAGCTCAAGCTTGCGGACGGCAGCAAGACGCACCCCGTCTTGATCAGCCGCGGTGGCTACACCGGAGAGGACGGCTTCGAGATCTCCTTCAACGGCAAGCTGTACCCTGCCTTCGAGAGCACCGTCAAGGCCGTCGAGTCCCTCATCAAGACCGCCGGCCCCGAGCGTCTCCAGATGGCCGGCCTCGGAGCCCGCGACTCGCTCCGTCTGGAGGCGGGCATGTGCCTCTACGGCCACGACCTGGACGACACCACCACCCCCGTCGAGGCAGGCCTGAGCTGGATCATCCCGCCCGAGCGGCGCAAGGCCGGCGGCTTCCACGGCGCCGAGGTCATCCTGCCGCAGCTGACGCCCAAGTCCAAGGGCGGCGCGGGCGTCGAGCGCAGGCGCGTGGGCTTCGTCGTGCAGGGGGCGCCCGCGCGAGAGGGCGCGGAGATCCAAAAGGACGGTGAAAAGGTCGGCACCATCACGAGCGGCGTGCCGAGCCCGACGCTGGGCAAGAACATTGCCATGGGGTACATCAAGGACGGACTGCACAAGGCCGGGACCGAGGTGGACATTGTCGTGCGTGGGAGGAAGAGGGCGGGCGTTGTGACCAAGATGCCGTTTACGCCTGCCAAGTACTGGAAGGCTCCGGCTTAGAAAAACTTGCTCGGCTTTCTGTTTCTCCTTTTCTGTCTTTAGTCGATTGAGATTTGCTTTGGATGGGTGTTTTTTTTCTTGTTCTTGTTCGGGATGGTAGCGGGTTTGGTCACTTAACGTTTTTGCATGGAGGGATGGAGGGATGGATACTTCAACGTGTTTCATGGCGGGTTTACAAAAAAGGGAATGAAGTGGTAGACATATTACAGTGTTTCAAATTGAGTTGCTCGATAGGGGTTTACACTAGGCTGGAGGAGAGTCTGCAGGATGGATACTATGCTGATGACGAGCAAGCACTGGATGGCTTTTTGCCCCTGGTGATGGATCCTATCCGGAGGCAAACCAGATCAGTAACTGTTGCGGTCGACCGCCTTTATTGGCTTGCATTTCCCCCCATGAAGCTAAGATTCTCATCACGGATACTCAAAACGCCGCAGGGCCCCCCCAAGATCCGTCAGGCCATGCCCAGCATTTGCATTTTCCTTTTTCGTAACAGTCTTTGCGGACTTCGCCATCTTTCACACCATCGCGTTTCACTGTCATCTGCCTTTGGAGGTCTCAAGCAGATTCTTCTTTGTTCTCATCTGTTCTTCGTTGGGCCCTGGCCATGCGAGACGGCCCCCCTGCTTGATCTGCCTCAAGTGTCACTTTGGACATTCACGTTTGTTCACGCCTTCAGCGACATACATTCATGATTGGGTCATCTACGACGTATGTCTATTGTCCGCTTGGAGCAGTGGCGGCGTCGAAAGTGATCTTTGGCGGTCGTCGGTAGGGTATTTCTTGGTCGTAGTTTTTTTGTTCGGGGCCGATTCACGTTGATATGACGGAGACTTATCACATACCTGAACGTTGTTTGGCTGGGCGTCTGTTTATTACAGTTTTTGTGCTTGAGACTGGATGGAAACTGCCATGGGAATCTTTCCCATCATCCCCTTCGATCTCGCTCTGTCAGGATGTCCGCCCTCTCATGCTCATCTCAACCATCCTTCGTTCATTTTCCGTCAAACACTCTGGCCACGCCGTCTCGAGCCCTGGGTTCTTGGGATGATATGCAGGGCATTGGGAGTAATGGCAGCAAGCGGATGCGTCCATGTTTCCAGGGTATACATCACAGCACTTTGTTTCAGTAAGGCAGGTAGCCATTATCTGAGTAGCCCATGTTCGTGGAAGGCTTGCCATTTCGCCAGCTTCTAAGAAGGTTTTGCGCGAGGAGTGAATGGACGAGAGCCCTCTAGACAGACCTGGGCACCTTGTGATAGAGTATAATAGTTGTGGTTGATCTACTAAGAGCCCAGTATGAAACTCGACTGGCGGGAGTCCGCCTTTACAGAATCCAAAATCTACTCTATTGGCGTCAGTCGAGAGATGCGATGCGTCTAAGAGATGTAGGTGATTGGTAGTCGACCTCGGACCGCTCAACTGGGTGACATTCTTGCAAGGTCATCTCTCCAAAGCAGCAAGACCGTTTGATGACGCTTCTGGCCTCAGCAGCACACCTCGCTAGGATGGATACGCTGTATGATACGTCCTTGTTCGACGAGGTTGGCTATGTTGGTGCTCTAGAGGAGGTTGAAGATAACTTCATGGACGTGCCCGGCCCCGTCGTTGGCGTCTGCCGGGGTACATCTTGCCTCGGTGCCTGGGTACCTAGTGATACCTACTTATCAGATGCTGTCCAGATTACCTCGCATATTCAGAAGCCGTCCATCGCGATGCTCCAATTTGAAAGAAAGAGTCTTGTTCCCACCTTGCGCCTAGAATGGGTGATGAATGGCGGTGGGAGAATGCGGACGGCGGTTAGGGAAGGCACGTCTGATAAGCGAAGTCACGGCCATGGCCAGCGCCATAGGACAAGAAGCTCAAAATTTGTATCACTCATTTTGAACAACTACTATCATCGACTTCGCCTCCAACACATCCTAATACGCGCGCAAGACGAACAAAACTTCACTCAGAACGAAGAAAAAAATGGTCGACCGAAAGCCGACGAACCTAGTCCCTATCCCTCTCTACGAGGCGCCGTCCAACCTGACGGAGGCAGATGTCAAGGAAATCCAGAAGGAGTATCGCAAATACCATCGAGGATACGACGAGCACGATAAAAAATGCCTCATAAATAATAGCAGGAGGCCAACATTGACACGTGATAGTAAGTTGGCATTTGCGTGGGATATCTCATGGCAGATCAATTTGCCGTCACTCCTGATCCACTTGTGGAAGATCAACGAGGTTAGGAGGTCAGTAGGTATCTCCTAAGGTATGCGAAAGGGTACATATATTGACAACTCCTCCCCTCGTAGCAGCTCCTTCTCCGGCGAGACGTAGATTGACGGGCGATATTGGCATAAAATTACACTCAAGGACACCTCAAGGCTGACTGCTGTCCTGGCGTCTACTTTATGTAGAGAGTGGCTAGCCAGGACCCCAAGTCTCCAGGTTCCTTACTTCCTTCATTCGAATCTATATCATATAGCAAGACTACCTAGAGATATATAGCCATAGTAGCAGAAGATAGAGAGCTTCTCTTCTATTACAAGGTAATTGTAGCAATAGCTAGTAGTAGCAGCAGTAAAGATATATGACTTTGCGCGGATGCTGGCTGACCACTCCCTAAACAATACTTTAGGTATGTATCGATAAGGCAGTCACGCGAAAGTGAGGCCAATGTGAAGCCGATGTGAAGGAAAGAGCTGTCTAGACAGCTGGCAGCTGCCTACCAGCTGCTGCCTCTAGATATAAATTTCTCCCGCCTGACGTCCCCTCTTCTCGTTTTCTTTCTTTCTTCCTTTCTTTCCTCACCAAGAGCCGTTTCCACATTGTACCAACTGGACTTTCGAGAACCAATCGCGTACAAACGACCTCCCCTTTTCACTCCATCAAAACGCTGCTCTACCTTCGAGGCCATGCCTTTCTTTTCTGCTCTCGGTTCCCTCTGGGATTTCCTCCGCCCCAATCGCCCCCCTGCTGGAAAGCCGGCTTCCCGCGTGGACGGTGACGGACCGGAGCCGGCGTCCAGTACGTCTGAGCATGAGGTCCCTGCGGGTTTGTGGGAGAGGTTCGCTGACTTTGTGAACGCGATGGGCCGCTGTTGTGCAGAGGTCCGGAGCCGGATCGAGTCGGTCGGTGCCGATCCCTCTGACAGAGTGGACGAGTTGCGTGCGCGGCTCTCCTTTCTGTCAACCGCTTGTCTCTCCATGGCCCCCGTCTTGATAGTCCTCACGGGCTTGGAACACCTCCACGGTGCTTCGTTTACCGTGGTCGCGTGTCTCCTCGTCGTCTGCGTGCTATCCGGAGCTGGTGGCACTCTCTTTTACCTTGCACCGGCATTTCGTTGCGGAGTTACCCAGTAGGGATGGGTCTTCGTCGTTGTGATAACCGGTTGCGTTACAGGTGGCCTCGGCATAGTTATTGTCGTTGCCATGGGGGTAATTGAGAGCGCGGGCGCGGGCTGGGCTGCCGTTCTGGTATGCTCAGTTATCGCAGCTTTAGCCATCTTTATGGTGGCGCGGACGTCTACTCGTTACCTTCCGGTTCCGAATGACGTCCGTACAGGGAACGATGTCGACCTTGAACGTCAGGACACTTAGGTGTCCAGACGGGATGGAGTCAATACCGGACCTTGTCGAGCTACGGCATAGGGGATTGCCGTGACAGTCTTGTCGAACCAACCCTAGCTTGACACCTGGCGGTAGAGGAGCTGATAAACCTCTGGAAAAAACAGACCCCAATACGAATGCTGCTTCTGCGTAGCATTGGGGACGAGTACCCGGCCCATCTTGGCACAATCATTATCGTACGGGACGGGGAAACCAAACGCATTCGACTCATCAATTTCACCAACTCTACCTCTATCGACTCAACAACTCAACACCCATCGACTCAAAAAGTCAACCTCCATCGACTCAACAAGTCCACCACAACCTCATCGGCGCTTCAAGCCTCGAAAGCCCAAGAAAACCGCAATCAAATCATATATTGCACAAAATCCGCCCAACAGTCGCTCTTGTCGTCTAGTGTACCATTCACCAACTGCGACTTCTGTCAAGCTTCATCCTCCTATCTCAAGACTACCTCTACCTCGTCTAAAGACTGCAACGCACCGCCATTCTCCCCACTGGCCGCATTTCTCACGACCGGCTTAATCAACGGTTTTTCGCGCTTTGGTCCTGCAAACACCCCACAACCACTTGAGCATCTCTCAGCTCGATTCGAACCACCACTCGACATTCCCAAACTGTCCATGACCCTGAATCCCCTGAGGTCCTCCCAGCATCACTCAAAAGCTGTGGATCGGTAGTTTGCCTCAAGACGCTCGTGTCGGATACGATTCTCGCCTCTCGACCATCATTCATTCAGTCTTACTCTCAATTTCTCTACGACAGACAACCAAGATACGATACCGTTGCCGTCCATTTGCAGCGAAGACATTTCAATTGACAGTTGAAACCCCAATCATCAAAACTCAAATTTCAACGTTGACTCCGCCGATTCGAAGCTATTTGGCCTTAAGTCTCCCACTAGGCTGCCAGATGAATCACCATTTTGCCAGCACAAAGACAGATTCGACCTTGCTCTGTGTCAAAGCTGTTTGCAACTTCAGCGAGTTGCTTTTCGAACATTTCGAGTCAAACGAGGTCACAAAATACCCCTCTGTGAGCTTGCCATTTTCGATTTCTGCTTCACATTATTCAACTGACTCTTTCTGGTGTACACTAGATATCACTCTGCGACCTAGATCCGGTATTTCGAAGTAGATTCAATGGTCATGACGGTCTTCAGGGAGAGAAAAATCGAGTTGTCTTGTGCAAGATGCCTAACCTATTTCCCCAGTCTTCTTCACCAGTCAGTCCTCAACTGCTTTCGGCGTCATGCCTGTGGCAGCCCGGATACTGATATCTAGTGTACAGTACAATCACACTTCTCAGTTGACTGAGTTCTCCGCGGGCCACTTGACTCCCTCTCAAGTTGAAACAGAAAGAAAAATGGAAAGGAATACTTGGAAAGATTCAGGAGGTTTGGAGGGATATGGAAACAGAAGGATGGCGCATGGGTGTCGATTGGAATACGTTGGTTTACTTCTCGTGACCCACGCCCTCATAGGGAGTGAGCTTTGTAAAATGTACACCTTGATGATGAATGATGCTATCGGTTGGTGAATCATGACAAGCTAATGAGTTTAGTGGCTTGTGATACTAGATTCCCAAGCCACATGGTGTCTCTCGGAAGCTGTTTGTTGTGAGGGTGATGTCTGGTAGTGGAGGTGGTGAGATTAGTTTCGTGAATGTTGCTCTCAAGAGATGAGATTACTCAATCCGTGATGTTCCGCAGGGCCATTGTCTGATTGTCGGGTTAATCTAAAATTGTCTACCACTTTTTGTTCATCGTTATGATTGGATATTGAACTTGGAGTTTTGGTGTTCCATCTGTCTAGTGACGATGTGGGGGAGGGCAATTCCAGGCACCTAGTGAGCTGGCTTGGGAATCCCCAGATCTTTCAGGCCTGAGAAGTGGCCGATGCGCCATAGTATCCTTTGTACGAAATGCTACAGCTATGTACTTTAGCCATGCATGCAATGAAAAGCGTCTTCTGTGGACGATGGACCCTGGCGCTTTGGGAGCTGTTGTTGAATGCAATATCCATAGTAGGTAAGGTAGTTGATGGAACCTCATGTAATTCGGTAAGATAGGCCAGTGGAGCATCGCCTACCATTTAAGGCAGTGTTCAAATTATGAATCTTGGGCCTTGTTATACCATTTCTTTTTTTTTTTTTTTTTTTTTCCTTCCAGGTTTGCTCTCATGGAAACCCCAGGAAGCAGTGTAATACTTGTACTGAATTTTTTCTGTTCATAATCCTGCCGTGAGCGTCTCATTTGCAGTTTCTCTTCAGTTTACAAAGTGGCCCGCCCAGCAAATACCTACCTACCTACCTACCTTAGGGTCCTGTGGCGGTGGCTTCTCCCCGTATCGCTTTTCATTACTTGGGGGTCTCAAAAGGACTACTTACGTTGCTCGACATACCTAGCTCCACTATGTCGGCATGGGAGAGAGGTGCTGACTACTTGTCTGGACGCTCCGAGGGCTGCAGTTTGTGGCTTCGAGAAGCCGGCGACGTAGGTATGTTAGGGAAGCCGAGTTGCAAAAGGCTCGTTGCCTTGCATATACCCTTCGTCTAATGCGATCCCCATACAGATAAAAGTCTCCCGCTTTAGGTGATAACCGCTTTAGTTGCTAAGTGATAAGGAACCTTTTTCGTATGAGCCTTATGGTGTGGATTGATGTAGTGTCCTTTTTGCAAGGTGGTGGTGGGAGCGAGCGTCTCCGCTACCTTAGTACGGCTTTACTACTACTACCACCGGGACGTACCAGGTGGAGATTGGGGTGGTCTGCAGGCGGCACTAGACCTGCAGGCGGCATGAGTTGTAGGCGACCAGGGGGTCGCTCAGGGAGTGGGTAGCGCGAGTCTACCTAAGGTGGAAAGCGGTCTGAGCCTGCAGAACTCCGACATGCAACACACAGCGTGCTGTAAAATGCTGACTAAGGTAGGAGGTGTGCAAGTGTGGTCGGTCTGTACGGCAGGAATCGACCAGGCGTCGACAAGCACAAAAGCAGAAATTTGAGTACGGCAGGCGTTGGAGCAGGAAACAGTTCATAATTCCAAAAGTTTTCATTTCCAGCTCTACAAACATAAGAAACGCCATATACGCTATGCAAAATACTCCATGCAGCTGCTCATTGATGCCCATCATGTGCTGTCGTGTGCCGCTTCGTGTGCCGTTTCGTGTAAGTGACGGGGACTCGCAAAGAGCAGGATTCTGGCATCGCGGTGGACGTCCACCTGGCGCTCGAGATGCTCAATCAGGGAAGAAATTTCTGCGATGAATTTGTCGCAATTATCCTTCTTGTAAAAGGCCCATTTCAAAGCTTCAACCTTCTTTGCAGTCTGTATTTTTTGCTTGTCGAGGAATTCCGCGGTGCGAAGTCGCATCTTTTTAAGGTTGAGTGGAGTGTTGGTGGCAGAAGAAGCTTCAAGGTCGCCGCCAGCAGCTGCCATGAGATCAGCTCTGATGCGGGCGGCTTCTCTTTGCGCTTTGCGGAGAGTTTCTTGGATACGAGAGAGGGTTTCGGATATCGTTGCTTCTGGATCTTGAAAGGCAATTTCTGGAGAGTGCGTGGGGTTCGCGGGACGGTTCGCATTGTTCATGATAGATGCGCAGCGGGAGAGGTGCACTTGGAGCTGGAGCTGGTAGACGCCGAACTCGTCTTCAAAGCCGCGGGCTCGCAGGATGGAATGAAAACCTTGGTGCACAAGGTGGAGGATGCTGGCTGTACTACTTACAGCATTCATTCTGGCATAGACGTCGCTCTGGCGTTCAATAGTAGAAAAACATGACGGGAGACGATGAAGACGAGCTCGGAATGCTGCAGAAAGAGCGAGGCCTTATTATAGAGAGTAATACTCATCAAACCATCCATACCGAGAAACGTGAAACCTTTCTCATGCCTGACGCGCGAAAGGGTGCCGCCAGCTTACTGGTTGACGCCCCTAAAAAAAAAAAATCCGTGTACCTGACTGGTTGCAGTCCCATCCGGGGCACGGAGTAGACTAGCACTAGCGGCACCTGGATTCTGACTGCTTGGCGACTCGACTTGTCCGTCCGTCAACGGGTGCGCGTCGGTTCCAGGGACGAGTTGGGTGGGTTCCACTGACGGGTTGATTTCGTACCAAGCAGGCGGCAGTGCATAGAGGGAAAATCAAGCCGCAGAGTAAGGTAATCTACATGCCTACATGTACTCTTGATGTTGGCGAGGCTCATGCACTCTACTCCGTTTGTGTTCTTGGCATACCTACCTACGCTTCACATCTCATTACATCCAGCCTCAAGACAAGGAAAACGTATGCTGTCTCAGGTATCAACTAGAGTCAATAGAACCTGATATGCGCATCTTTACTCGCAGGTCGAAGATATAAAATGCCTACATCACCCGTGCCGACTCCTTGCAAGACCGCACTTATTATACGAGTGCACCTGAGTTTCCAGCTTGAGGGCCGAATTCCTGCTGCGATTCCCTCCTCTGCACACTTGCTTCTCTCTCTCGGAGAATCCTCGCTTCCCAGATCGCTGCAGGGGCTGACGGGACAGCTGAGATGCGCCCGGGAACCCCCCTCCCACACACACACACACACAAAATATCAGCATGTTACCACAGGTACGGACTGTGTTATGCCTGACAAAGGACCTGCATTGCGGATCAGGCATCAATGATGGGGGTTTGCCGATTTCTGGCCTGAGTAGCGGGAAAGCCTGAGCCAGGCCCCCGAACGCACTGACTCAGCAGCATCTACTCTTACTGGCTACTGCCCTCCTCTTGTATCCAGTAGAAAATCTAACGAACAGAAGAATGGGAAATGATCGAATGGAAATAAGAGGTAATGCATATGCGTGACTAGAGACTTGATTATTACTTCTTCTCTTCAAGACGGCAAAGCATTTGGTGCCCTTACTAGGATTCCTTGGAAAGTACTAGGCACCGCAACAGTCAAAGCAGGCAATCGACTCTGGAGTGACCAATCGGCCAGACGCGACTGTCTTGCCGTGCTGCTGACGACTGGCGACCGGGTGCTGAAGAGGAAGAATCAATGAACGAAAATGAGGAGGACGAAAGGTGAAGCCTTTAGTTTCGAGATCGACTCCGCGCAAGGACTGGCCCTGTGCAGTCTACTGGCGGTCGGCGGCGTGTTTTACAAGTACAGCTCCTACCGGTATAGACGGACCACATGAAAAACTGACCTCTAGGTGGTTGTTGAATGCTTTTAGAATACTATTACCACTTGCAAATACATCTCCCATTCTCTTGCCGAAGTTGGTCAACTCTGCAAATCAAGCTCAACATCGTATCGTTCGGATTCATATTGATACCAGCGTGTGCGAGAGGCATGATGGAAAAGTCACTCAGAGGGCGTCAAGTATTCGATGTATCCTTTCTCATCATGTTTCTAGCCTTCCACGTGTTCCTCAAGAAAAGAAGCAAAGGTATGACTCGAAATGTCGCAGCGAGGAGGTGAAAGACTGGCAGATTGGGAGACTTGTCAGTCTACCACTACCTGTGTGGCTGGTAGTTTTCCTCTGGCCTAAATGATAATGTGTCTTTTCGCTGTGCTGAAACTTTCATCGCCGAATGGCCCTGTTCAGCCCTCGAAAAAATCCAATCAACGGGAGGAAATCCAGTGGTGATAGCTACAGGAAGAAGATGCTCCTAAGAAGATCCACGCCAATGTCACGGAAGGGGCAAGACCGGGCACGACGAGGGCGAGTGTCCATCACTTCGACTCCTCACTCTCCTCCATCTTCGCCAACACATTCTCTACATAAGCCATGAATTTCTCGTCCAACTGTTTCGCCGCGTCACGAAACTCAGCCTCAATCTTCCGAGTCTCCGTGTGGTACGTACGACGCACCTCCTCCTCGCCGGCAGCAATCAGCTCCGGAATCCCAGCCTTTTCCGATTTGTAATCGCCGTATTTAGAGCAGGCTTCAAAGAAGCCCCTTATGAAACGGTCGCTTCTCTGTCCGATGTGCCCCAAGGCCACGGCCCTTGTCACCCGAATGCTCTTGACGTCGCTCTTGACGCGCTTGATGGCGTCCGCCAGCGAACGACCTTGACGAGTCAATGCGGCCTCTCTGGTTTCAATGACCTTGCCCTTTTTGACAATGTATTCCTTGGTGAGCCGCATCCGTTCCGCATGTGGGCGTACCGCCAGTATCTTGTCCATGATCTGAGGGGGTACGGTCAGTGTGTCGTAGGATTTTGCATCTTCTTTGGCCTTGTCGGACGTGCCGGCGAGTGTTTCGTAGGGAGGGGGTGGGACAGCCTCTGTCTTCTTTCCCATGGCGAACGTCATGAATGTATTTTTGGCTGTTGAATCGGGTCTTTGTCTTAAAATAGAGGTCAGTGGCACATCTCCAGATTACAATGCGGTATCAAAGGCCTGAGCTTACCGTTGACTTTTCTCACCCAGTTCAGTTTGAAGTTCGGGGAGTGGTGATGCGCAAAGCCCAAGGAGTTGAAGTGAATGAATGGATACGCAAAACAGATCAAACAGCGGCTCTCAAGCCACCTTATATGCACACTCGGGACCGAGACGAAGGTGTGCGTATTGGGTTTGTGGCTGGAAAAGGCGTCGTGTTGGCGGCACTTGAGCCTGAAAGCTCGGACCGAGATCTACTCTGTGTTCACACCAGAGTAGGGTGGCCATATTATAACCTTATTTGCACCGCGATGGATCAACATTACCTACTACAGGTAGTCCTTCTTGGGCCGTAACAGGCTGTGCCTCTTGGTTGAACACCGAATGACCTCGAAGGCTCATGACATGTCACATATGTTCTATTATTATCCTGAGTACCTGACTTGCCATGCACACTGAGGCTCAAACACATGTATTAAGGCATCCGGTAAGCATCACATTGTATACAGATCCTTGTATGAAACTACTAGAAGTTAAGATGCAAGTCTTGCAAATATCGAGGGTCTTTCCGTAACCCAAGACGAGTCCTCTTCGCGCGAGACCCCAGCGCCAAAATCTTGCCCATAATCCGAAGACGTACGGACGAAACGCTGTGCGTGGTTCCGTCTCTTTTGCCGTCTCCGGGCACCGCAGGGGAGGACTCTTCTGTATGAAGAGACAGGCTTTCTCCGGAAGACATTGCGGCTGCCTTCTTCATCGTGGTGGTGATGAAGGTCTTGTTGTCGTTGAAACGGTAAATGTCCCGTTGTGTGTCTTGGCCAATTGTTAGCGGCATCAGGTTTGTATAGGAAAACATGTGCTTACAGTTCATTTTCTTTCAAAAAATGATTTGAATATGTAGAACGAGGCGATATACTAGAAGCAGTGAGTTGGTCTGGGTGAACAAGTTTGGTGGTCTGATGAAGAAGATGAATGAAAGAAATTCACCAGGGTGGCGATCAGGCCAATTTATACCTCTGGAGTTCAAGATTTGTTGAATTATAAAAGGTTCGCGTATGAAAAACCACAGCCTCCGGCAAGATCAGACAAGGTTCCAGGAGAGTTGCTTAAAAAGTTGTGACAGCATCAAATTAAAAGTTGGGCATCCTAATCCCCTCGCTTTCGGACGCTTGTTGAGCATTTTGACTTTACGCCTGGCGCAAAGCCACAGCATCACAAAAATTAAGCTTAAATCCTTATCGACCAGTGCCAGACCTTTCCCCAAAGGAACTGTTAACAAAAAGGCCCGATCCAAAGCCACAGAAACCGCTCACGAAGCCGGCCACTGCTCGACAATCCCCCAGCCGCGGACCTCTTCCCCCTTCCATGTCCCAGAGTAGCGCACGAAGGAGTCGCAAAACGCAAACGAAGCCCCGTAGCTGGCCTCGCCGTACTTCCAGCTCGTGACATTCGGCGCCACAGCCGTAATCACGCTGTCCTGCTCGTCAAGGAACGAGACCTCGAAGGATCCGTACCAGGTGCGCTTTGTGCTCGGGGAGACCCACGGATCTCGAGGCTTGATGTCTGGGTTCACGCCAACAATCTCCTGTCGACCGTCTGGATATAGGGCCGTGGCGAAGGCCTTGAGGGCGCCTTGCTCGGTGGGGACAATCCACGTCGAGATGCGAATTCCGTTCTCGAGCTGGATGGGCACCCAGTACCAGCCCTTGGAAGGAGTCTCCTCGCCCCACTGGCGGTCATACCATGTCGTCGAGCGGTTTGAATCGATAATGTGCTTAGTTCCGTTGAGGGTAAATGTCCCTGTAGTGTAAGATGATGGGCTGGCCCAACCTTGGTTGAAGACGGAGCCCCAGAAGAAGCTGCCGCTGCCGCCGTTGAAGAGGAGAGACCCCTGGGGCTGGAACGTCGTGTCGAGGGAGAAGTTGCTGTTTGAAAAGTTTGCGATGACGCCGATGGAGGAGATGTTGTCGTCTGTTAGGCTGTGCAGCTCGTATTGCTCGCCAAACTTGATTCTCAGACGGTCTTGTCCGACCAGTGTTGGGGTTGCTTGGGCAAATGACGAGCTGAAGCCGCCTGTTTCGAGTGAAAAGACCAGGCAGCCGTTGGCAGAGCCGCCGTACGTCGAGTTACCCGACCCGCCGGGGACGGCATTTGTGAATGTAATGAGAACGAAGTGCAGGTTTTCGGTTGTGGTGACGAAGTGGCCGACCCAATGCGAGTTGAGGCCGGTGGGGGACTGGATGCGGATGGCTTGGTTTGCGGAGACGTTGTATGTTGGACCGGCGGCCTGGGGGAGGGTTAGATGCTTGGTGAGGATGTGAGGCACTAGACGAGGCATGTCTGTAATTGCTCACCACGTAAGGGTTTTCGATTGCTGGCTTCGAGTTTCCTGATGCTGGGGCGAGCCACGGGCCAAGTGGAGTTGATGGACTATAGGCTTGAACGGCGGCTTGAGAGCATGAGCTCAAAGCCCAGAGACTGAGTAGAACATTCAAAAGCATCGCTACGATCAAAGCAGTATCTAGAAGAACCAAAGTCGGGCAGATAATTATACACAACTTGGTTTCATCGAGAGCTACAAGCCTCTTTATAGAATGTCCACCAATTCCTCGCGATTACAGAAACGGAAGGACACTTCTATAGGGGAATGTCCCAATATGGCAATTCACGGGGGAGGGCGGTTGAGAGTGGAGTCCCGCGCATCAGAGCCATCGGGGGATTTTCTTACCAGTAGTACCTTATTATTTTATATGACATGCCTTATATGGAATGTCACTGCAAATTTGGGGATAGTAATAAAAAAGAGGAGGAAAAAATTGCACCTTAATAATTCGAATATCACGTGTAAGGCCGGCAACAGGGATCATGTTGGGGCTTCACGGCGGTCGTTCAGAGTTCGTTCGTGTCTTTGTGAACGCTGGTACTGTACCTGGATCGTAGGGGGAATAGATGAGAAATCAGGAAAGCGTTTTGCGCGCGCTGAGATTTATTTGTAATCCCTCGCCCGTGTGATATTCTTCTCATCATCACGACAGCCGGTGAAAAGATCAAAATACCAGTCTATTGAGTATAAAGAGTCAAAAGGATGCTGGATAATCGAATCGGATGCCGCTAGCCACTCACTTCAAGCGGACTAAACACACAGTCAACCACATGCGTCCAAGAATAGGCATAACAGATGCAGCAGGTAAACAAGCAATCGTCAAAGTCGTAAAATTCATGGGTATTATAAAAGAATTGCTCATCTCCAGCCTTTGTATGCAAAACACAATCTCTCTTGCCCTTCCCAATCGTCACCTCTCCACAGGATACAAAAACGGGTCGCTATAAGAAAGCAGCTCCTCGCACGTGGGCCGCATGTGATGGTCTCGGTTCAGGCACCGCCTCAGCGTCCTGATGAGCGAAGGCGGGACGGGAGCGCCGCCCATGCCGCGGGAGGGAAACTCAATGTGGTGATCCCAATTGATAATGGCCTGACATCTCGCCATCTGGTTCGCAATGTGGCCAAAGGGTGGCAAGCCGTAGACCATCTGGTAGAGGATGCAGCCCAGCGACCAGACATCGCTCGACTTGCCCAGCTTCATAAGCTTGGGTCTGCCGGGGATTCGACCGCCGCGCGGGTTGTTAGAGTCCAGCAGGGACTCGGGCGACATGTAGTTGGGCGTGCCCACCTGCGTCTCTCGGTGGACGTTGACGGTCTCGTCGGTCTGGATGGCGTTGGCGATGCCAAAGTCGATGAGCTTGAGCCTGCCCTTGACGAGGACAAAATTGGCGGGTTTCAGGTCCGAGTGAACAATGTCGTGCTGGTGGACGGCGTGCAGGCACTCTAACATCTCTTTCCAGTAGAAGCGTACAAATACCGAGTCGAATCTGGAAGACTCGGGGCCCTGGCGGCTTGCCAATAGAGTATTCAGGTCTCGTTCTCCCATTTCCATGACCTAGAACATTGTCGCTTGATTAGCACCTCTCATCAATCAACCCACTGGATATGCTCTAGTGTACTTACCAAACTCAGCACCTGCTTTTCTGTGTTCATCTCGTAGGCGTACAGATTGATAACTCGATCAACCCCCTCGAGCCTCCCAAGGAGATCAATTTCGCCCTTGTATCCCCTGATGGTCAACTCGTCGGCGTTCTCCAGGGCCACGCGCTTCAGGGCAAACATCTGTCCATTCTCGGCGGTTACGCGATAGACCTTGGCGCTGCCGCCGCGACCAAGGCAGTCGAGCCTGGTATACGTCTTTCCATTCACCCGCAGCACGTTTCTCCGCTGTCTTGTCGATGTAGCCGCAGCTGCGGCTCCAGTGGTCGACGTTGCCGCCTCCAGGACGGACGACATCTTGGGAGGAGGCGGCGGAGCAGCCCGCTTAGGTGTGTTGTTGGCCACTGGAGCCAATGGTCTCCGCTCTGGTGAAGACGGCCGGGCGAAAACAGGCGCAGGCGCAGGATCAGTGCTCAGAGGTCGCTGCGGCGCCTTGTCCATCCGATCGTCGATGGAAGACCTCGGGCGCTTATAGCTCGCACGGCCGTTGTTTTCTTGATCGTGCGCTGAAGGTACCTGAGGCCGAAGTATTGATTTCCTATATGGTATTTCCTCCTCCTCCTCTTGTGCGTCTTCCCTTTCTCTTTCTGATGGCTGATATCTCTCGTTTTCCTGAGGCTGGTATCGCTGCGCTTCTGGCTCGAGCTCAACATCTCGCGGCGAGCGACGCCCAGAGTCGGGCCGGGAACTCATGCTGGACTGGTGTCTCCTATGAAGGGCCCTAGCCGAAGCACTAGCACTGACAGGACTTCCAGAGTTATAGTCTCGGATTCCATCGGGGTAAAAGGCAACTTCTGGCGTGTCACCCATCTGGTGGTTCTCCTGGTCCCGGTTGGCATCGTATCGATCCATCTCCCCTTCTTCTTCAGCGTCGTCTTCGCTCTGCCTCCGCCTGCCACGCCGAGCAGGCCCGCTGAGGAATGTGCCCGGAATCTTACCAACGCGCTTGACGCGCATCGAGCTCTGCAGGTTGGCGTTCTCCTCGAGTCGGCCCCTAGCCGAGCTGTACCGTGAGATGCTGCCATAGCTGGCGAGCGGTGCTTCATTTCGTGCAACGGTTTCCGGGACCCTGTCTGGCTCGTAGTCATCCACCTCGATGGCAGACCTGTCGACACCAGAGCGATCAAACGACCGCCCCGATGACATGCCGGTTGAGCCGACTCTGCTGCGATTGCCCGAGGAGTTTGTTGAGATTCTCACAATGCGGTTCCCGTGCGCGGGTGTGTTGATGTCCGCCTGTGGCTCTGGCCTCTTATCGGCAGATTCTTCTCTACTGGGCGGCCGACTCTGGCGCTGTGTTGATCGAGAAAAAGAGCTCGAGCGTCTCTTGGAAGGCTGGATCTGGCTCAGGCTCTGCGAAGTGCTGCTGAGCCTCACCACCCGCTTCCGTGTCACGGGGCTCGCACCGCGCTCCCTGGCGGGACTCGAGGTCCTCGAAGTTTTGCCCTCGGCGGGCTGGCTAGTGGAGGATCTCAGGTTCCTCCCTCTCTCGGGCACAGAAGGCGTCGTCGTGTTCAATTGGCTGGTCCGTCTTCGCGTCTGTGGTGGTGAGGTCGATCGCTCTGCGGGCTGAGCGCCCTCAGGCTCGCCATCATTGAGCAGCGCTTTGGTGAGGGCGCTGAGCTTCATAGGCACCGGAATCTCATCCTCGGAGCTGTCGTCGTTGTACTGTTTGGCGCTGCTTCGGGCTTGCATGGCACCCGCCTGATGGCTCTCGCTCCTGGTCAGGAATGCTCGCGAGGGCAACTCGCGGAGGGCTTGCTGTCGCTGCGAAGACCTGCGGATAGGGCCGGCTGCCATTGGCGTTGGCGAAGCCGCTGTCGCCATGTTTTGGCGGTTTCTCTAGGTTGGCGGTCAAGCGAGGTGGAAGCGCAGGTGGCGAGCAATGGGCGGCTGGTGGTTGGCGAATCAAGGAATAAGTATTTTAGAGGCGCGGCTTCCTTGTCGTCCGAGGGCCGCAGGCGTTGAGGCAGCCGACAGCTGTGTCGCGTAGGGGTGGATGGTCAAGGATGATGAGGTGAAGAGCGGAGAGAGCTGGAGCTGCCGAGTCGAGATTCCAGGATTATTTTTGGGGTTCGTTGTTTGCGAAACACGCCGACCAATCAGCAGCGGCCGGGTTGCCGTGGGCAACGAACGATCCAGGCACGGGCTGGCGCTAATAGCGCTAACTACAGGGAGGGAAATGGCGCTGGTTCTGCTCTGTTGATGGAGAGGCTGCTGTGTTTTGCTACTGCGTGGATGCCTGGATGAATCGCTGAATGGGACCCGACATCAGTGCTCCTGCTGATGGCAGTGGTGAGGCCGTGATGATGCAGAGCGAGGGATTCGCTGCTCTGGCGGGCGAGGTACGGGGCGGTACTCGAGTGGTGGTGCAGCTTCTGCAGGTGTGACGTGGAGAGTGCAAGTACTGGTACGCAGGAGTGCAAGCACTTGAGAGCAGTTGGCACGTGTTTTTCCAGCCTTGCGGAATGTGAAAGAAGGGCTGCTCAACACCAGTGCCATTCACTCAGGACTGAAGAACGGGGTACACAATGGATACACTGCCAGCTTGTAATATTCGGGCTTGTGTTCTCCTTAGCCTGTATCTGCCAATTGAGCAATGCCTGTGCTGCCTCAATCATATGCTCCGCAGCATCAATGGAACGCTATTGCGGATGCGGAGTCCAAAGTAAACAACAGTCAACTGCGGGATCATCGACTGCAGCTCCAGCTAGCGGTTCGAGCTACCAAAGCCGACACTTTAGTACAATCACCAGTAGCCAATCTGACAACTACCTGGTAGGTACAGTAGGATCTTGTCTCTGCCAATTGAACCTATCAATTGGGTACAGAACTCGACCATCACCACCATTGCACCTCTAGGAGTCCTGCTGTACCAGTACATACATCTGCTCGCTGCCCAATTCCCGCCCGGAATGACCCCGAATCCCCGCCCAAGCCGGCCCGCCCCATAATCCGTCCCTCCAGATTCCCATCTGCAACAGCCTCGAGCCGGTTGACATTGACATCTGGCTCCATCCAATTTCGCCCGTATCTCCAGTCCAGATCCAACCACCACCGGATCATCACCAATTGCCCCGTGGCCTCTTGATCCACGTCCCCTCTTTCTTGGCGTACTTCTTTCCATACTGTTGACATCATCTGCTGCTGCTCTTCTTGTTGTAACTACTTGGCTACACCCCCCCCCTCCGTCGATGCTGGCATCATGACCGCTCCATCTGGCGGGAGGCCAGGCTTTCGCGCCATCTCCTTGATGCTGCTTGTCGCGGCGCTCTTTGCCGGCGCCGGCCTCGCTTCCGTCGGCGACCAGCTGCCCGAATTCAAGCAATGCCTTGACGTGTGTCTGCTCTTGTCCTTGCTGTTCAATGCTACGCGCCAATTGTCCCTAACTGACAAATGTCCTCGTCCCAGATCTGCAAAGCCGAAAACTGCGCTCCCGACAAAGCGACACCCATCCGTACGCGCCTCTCCCTCTCGAGCCTCTTCCCATGACGAGCGCACGACATGAAGCGAACAGACAAGCACCTGCTAACAACCCACCCTCGCCAGCCCTGTCCCGCCGCCTCCTCCTCTGGGACTGCTCCTCCGAATGCGACTACGCCTGCCAGCACATCATCACCGCCTCGCGCGTCGCCTCGGACCTCCCCGTCGTCCAGTTCCACGGCAAGTGGCCCTTCTACCGCTTCCTCGGCATGCAGGAGCCCTTCTCCGTCCTCTTCTCCCTCGGCAACTTCTGGGCGCACTGGCAGGGGCTCAAGAAGGTGCGCGCCCGCATCCCGGCCGGCTACTCGCTGCGGCCGTACTACGAGGCCTTCTCGTACTTTGGCCTCGCCTCGTGGGTCTTCAGCTCCATCTTCCACACGCGCGACTTCGCCGCCACCGAGCAGCTCGACTACTTCGCCGCCGGCGCCTCGGTGCTGTACGGCATGTACTACACCCCGGTGCGCATCTTCCGGCTCGACCGCCCGTCGCCGCGCCGGCGCTCCGTGGTGCGCGCCTGGACGCTCCTGTGCATCCTGCTGTACGCCTGCCACGTCGGCTACCTCAAGGGCGTCAGCTGGGACTACACGTACAACATGGCCGCCAACGTCGTGCTGGGCGTCATCCAGAACGCGCTGTGGAGCTGGTTCAGCTTCGACCGGTACCGCAAGTCGCGCCGCGTCTGGGCCATGTGGCCCGGTCTGGCCGTGGCCTGGGTCATGTTTGCTATGAGCATGGAGCTGTTTGACTTTCCGCCGTGGCTGGGCTGCATTGATGCTCACAGCCTGTGGCATCTGATGACGATTGGGCCGACCATTTTGTGGTACAAGTGAGTTTTTTTCCCCTTGAGAATGAACGTTGTTCCTTTGCTGATACAATGCGACAGCTTCCTCGTAAAGGACGCCAACGACGACATTGCTGGCAGCGATAGATTAAAAGCATGATAGAATGGTGAAGAGGAGGAAATGGTCAGCCGATACAGGAGCTGTCTCAAGTCGAAGAGCGAGAGCAAGGGGTAATTATCACTACCTCGATTGCTGGCTGAGCGAGACACTTTAATAAAGCGGCGCTCATTTTGATTCGAAGGGCAACTCCCATATTTTGGTGATTCTATCGCCTTTCCCGCATAGAAAACATTGGGAAAAGCACAAACAACTCCAGCACGATCATCGTGAGAAAACAAATGTCAAGCAGCACCATCTCTTGAAACGAAGCAAATAAGAGTCAAAAGTGACAATCATGATTGATAATTACTAGGTTCATGCTTTCTGAAACCCGTTTGCCTGCCCAAGCCTCATCCATGCCTTTCCTCGATAACTCCTTGTTTTTCTCCGACATCTACCACACTTGAGCTTTGCCTTCTGCTCTTATTACATCATCACCATCCTTTCCTGAATCTGAAACAAAAATGTAAAAGTTTGAACTCAAAGAAAAAGAAGAAGAAATCATCATCGTTGCAGCCAGGGTATACTAAATGGTAAAACCAGGAGTAAAAAAAAAAAAAAGAAAAAAAAAGAAAAAGAAAGAAAAGAAAAGTATCAAACAGTAAACCAAAAAGCCACCCATCATGAACTCAACAAATCCCTCACAGACAGCGCCCGATTACTATTACCATTACCATGACCATTCCTCATCCCCATCGTCGACCCTCTCCTATCGCAATTAAGCATCAACAGCGCCGCCGTAGCCTCATGATCGAGATCCGTCTGCGGCAACAGCGCAGGACTCGTCAGCGTCGACCCCGACGCAGAAGCGCTGCTCGTATTATATGAATACCTATTAGTATTGCCATTCACAAACAGCTGCGGCCCAAAGGCGGGCGACGTCGTCGTGGACGCGGCACTGTAGCTGTAGTGCCGCTGGTCCGCCGCCGCCGCCGTCGTCGACACGGACGAGTACGAGTGCTGCCGGTGGCGATGGCGCTCCGAGTCCTGGGCGTGCAGCGCGGGCGAGACCGACACGGACGTGCGCCGGTGCTGCTGCTGCTGGTGGTGATGATGAGGATGGTGCTGCTGCTGGTTCTGCTGCTGCTGTTGGGGCGCAAAGACGGGCGACGGCGCCGCGTCCGAGTCGGTCATCTCGACGTCGGCCGGGTCCTCCTCGCAATTGAAGGTCGGGTGGAACTCGCGGATGGGCGGCAGCGGGCTGTGGGATGACGAGGAGGAGGAGGCCGCGGGCCGGCTGCTCTGGGCCTGCTCCTGCTGGGCCTTGAGCTTGGCAACGCAGTCCTCCAGGTAGCGGACGTATTCAATGGAAGCCTGAAGAAATAAGGTGTGTAAGTCAAGGTTGCATCAATGAATGAAGATGAGATGAGATAGGGGAAACAGCATACCTGTAGAATGGCCAGCTTGTGCATCTCGCCGGTGCACGCGGGAATCATGCTCTTGAGCAGCGCAAACTCCTCGTTCATCTTGCTGCGCCGCCGCCGCTCAATCAGGCTGTGGGCCGTCTTGCGCGCAATCTTCCTGCCGGCGGCGCTGGTCGCGCTGGGCTGCTTCTTCTTGCTGCTGGACTCGCTATTACTACCCTTGGCCGAGGCGCCTCCGGCTCCGGGCCCGGCGGCCGTCTTGGCGGCGGAAGCTCTCCCGGTAGTAGCGCGGCCGGCTTCCTTGGTGGATGATGCCGAGCCGGTGCCGGGAGCGGTGGTGTCCTGCTGGGTGCGCGGCTTCATCTGGATAATCTTCCTGGACCGCGTGGGCGGCGGCGGCAGGGCAAAGATGCTGCTGCTGCTGCCGGTGGTGTCCTTGCTGGACTCCTTGGTGGTGGCGGCGGACGAGCGTCTGCGGGACTTGACCGTCTCGGCCGCCTGCATGGGATACACCGTCTTGGGCGAGGTAGCAATGTCCGGGCCCAGGCTCCTCGCGTTTGCACTCGCGCTTGAGGAGGGAGGAGGAGGAGGGCAGCTGCTGGGGGACAAGGGCGAGAGCTTGGGGTCGACGGGCGAAGCGGCATCGTGGATGGCCGGCGGAGGCAGCTCAAAGGCCAGCTGCAGGGACGACAGCTGCTGCACGCCATCCTTGCCCCTGATATCGGACGAGGAGCCGGGCGTGGGCGGCAACGCTGGGCGAGGCATGGTCACTTGGTCCGGGTTGGCAGCTTGTACTCCTTTGGGTGCCGGCGGATGACGAATCTCTTGTAATTAAGCCAACGGGGGCGTGTGTATCTCTTTCGCATGCAGCCCGGATCTGGCGTCCCCAATCTCTCTCGGCCACGCTCGGCGATCCGCAAGTTCGCAGCTTTTGACTGATCGACGATAACACAAGATGCAAGCACCGTTCGTTTCTAGCGGGCACTAGAGAGACCGATGGCTGAAACTGAGCTGGGCCGAATACGCGGCAGGTTCGTTGAGGCGCAGTTCGGAAACAAAATCCTCCCTTTTCACCAGTCCCGGGCTCTCTAATGAGCAGAAAAGCTGGTAATGGCGGATTGGGGGTGACGACGGCGGCACCACCCTTTTGACGAGGTTGGTTACAGGGAACAACTTGCAAGTCTGGGGGGGCGCCGGAAGTTCAACTGAGCAACGGCGCACCGAATCTGCGGGCGCTTGGTGCGTTGGACGCGATAAAAAAACGCAGGTTATGTATAACCGAGTTTCTGGTGTCTTGATTGCCGAGTTTGATGCAAGGGTCTCTTTGTGGCTGGGGAAAAGCTGCAGCTGGTGATTTGGCAGAGATAAGCTTGGAGAGAGAGGGAGCTGTTCTGGTGGTGTTGCAAGCTTGTGATAGTATGTGCGTGGATAGGTATGAGCCGCCCTTCGGATCGGATATGCTGTGCGCGGAGAGTCCCTTGTAATTCTTGTCTGACCGGGAGGTGATAAGAGGAAAATAGATCGACAAATGCAAAATAGAGGAAAGAGAAGTCGGTGGTCGGTGACAGCAAATGGCGATGAGCTCTGTTGTCGTTGGATATGGCCAAATTGGTGATGGGCGGGCAGGTATTACAGCAGAAGCAGAAAGGTAGGTAACCGGTGGGCACGAGACCACTTATGCACCCTGCAACGACGGGGAAGGGGGCGATAATGTGGAAATGTGAGGCAGCGGTTGAGGAACGGGAAAGAAGAGAAAGAGGTGTAAAAGAAAAGAATCAGAGACGAGAAGAGGAGGGAAAGGGGGACGAGAGGGCGAGGTGAGACTCAAGACTGAATAGACGAGAGACGGGAGGCTCCAGCTGCCCATGGCGACTTATTATTCCAGTCAGGTATGTAGACTGTACGAAGGAGTTCCTGGGCGGCACTCTTCCGATAAGGCGCTTTCCGTTGAGAAAGACGACGAGCCATGTACAAGCACATGGGAATTGTGGCTCTCTCTCTTCCATCTTCCATCTTCCTCCTCCTCCTGCCGCTTCCCTCTCCCGCCCGTCCCCCCCCCCAGCTTCGTGAATGTTTGAACAGAAGCCCTCGAGTCCGAAAACGACCATTGAAAACGTGCCTCTGCCAATTGACCAAGCATCATCCAGCAAAGTGTCGCGTGCTCCCCATGGTGTCGCCGCCGATCCGACGAATCAGCGGCCCGGACCAGCCCATGTGGGCGAAAAAGCGCCCCCGACCCCTTGTGAATCTCGCCCTGCAAGCTCTCTGATTGCTTTTCTGCGTCCCTCTACATACGTCTCTCTCCAGCTTTTCTCATCGCTTGTCCGCTCGCTATATGGGGCCTTGTTTGTGAAGTCCCACTTGCCGTCGACACGGGCTTCTTGGCTCTCCATCCTCTTAGATCTCGCCGGCGAGTCTCGTGCTCCTCGTGCGTGCTGGGGGGAGAGCCAAGTCGCTGCAGCGATAGAGGACAAGGGGACGCTTCAGCGGATGAGTTTGGCAGGAGATTGTTGATGAATCCAATTACGAGTGAAAACATGCGCGAGGAGGGCTGCTTGTGGATGAGACGGATGCCATCAATGTCATCTCCATAATATTGACGCCATAGTACGAGTTGTTGCCGCTTTCGAACACTGAAGCCATCCAGGTACACGTACTCTTACATTGTCCGACACAAAAGTAAGCACACGTCAGGTCCATGAATCTCCCCAATGTCCGGGCAAAGCACAAGACAATCCATGTGACAGGGGAGCCCTCTCCCCAAAGATGATGCAGAGATGGCACACTAAGACAGCCGTCCATATCTTGCCTCCTTGGGGGAGGTGACACTGCACGGACCCCCCTTTGAAGCATCGGGGATCGATAACCACGTTGGACAAGCTCGCATGTCCTTTGGGCAAACTCTGACTTCCTGGGGTATCTATCTTTTCTTGAAAATCAGTGGGTTGCGCCACGCTGCGCTAGGAAGAGGGGAGATGGGAGATGTCAGGGGATGAGGAGGGTTGGAGTCCTGGTCCCGGCCATTGAGGTTCAAAATGGACGAGGTCTGGAATCCCAACAATCAACAAAGTACGAATACCAATTCCTCCCCAATCTTACGCCAATTGGAGTCACGTCTATTCCAAAAATATCTAGAGAATTCGAAAAGCAACTTAGACGGCTGATGACGACGCACAACAGCCATTCAAGTAGTTTGACGTAACTGCCGCTCATGGTGCTCGGAGCTGAGCCTCGTTTATACGAAGATGGAGAAGGAGAGGCAAAGCGCCTCAAATTCGTTAGTTTTCTCCTATGCCCTTTTCCCTAACTGAGAGAAAACCCAGGCTTACTGCGCTGTGGTGTAATGAGTAGGTGTATATAACGAATTGCATGAATTTGAATTGGCCCCGCGAAATCAGTAGATTGCAGTCTTGGAGTGTCCATGTGCTGTGGGTTTAAGCGCCATCACAAGTAAAGAATGAAGTGTCCTGTGTTTGGAAGCACAGCTGTTTATCACCCTGAATAACAGCCTTTCAGGATGGTGCAACGCAGCACACACACACATGCATCTCGTCGCATAAGTTTCATCTGATCAAAAGACCAAAGTTCACGACATGTGGTATAATGAATTGTCGTCTCCAAGAGAAATCGTGCATTGGACGGAATTCCTCGTCGCTCAACGCCAGCATCCTACCCTAGATGCTAAATCATAACGAAAAAAAAATCCAAGTAAAAAGACAACAACGCCGCCAATCATCCACATCC